GCGCTACAGCTTGCGCTTTCCCTGACCTCTCAACTCTGTAGGACGTACCACTACTTGCAACCACTTTATTAACCAACGCATTAGTCAACTCGTCCGACTTATACTTATTATACCCAGCCGGTGTCCCGCAACTCATAACCATGGCCGTGTTATCTGCCACGCCAAAGAACATAACGTTGTCGTGCTTCACTAAACAGCCTTCGAGCTGCAACGCGCAGCCGGTCTCGCCTACGCTGTGGCTTTGGAGCAGGCGAACAGCTTGCGCGACACAACTTACGCACTCATCGGAGGAGAGATCACCCCGGCACTGGTGCAGTCCGTAGTTTCCGTTGACGGTGAGATTGTTGTACGTGTAGATAGAAGCTGAGTTTACGAACATGTTGAGCAGCGAGCTGACGTTTGACTTGGACGACGATCCTGGAAAGTACTTTGGTGGAGAGCAGTAGTGGTAGTAGACTAACGGCTCCACGGCCGGAAATGCAAAATTTGTGAGAAGATATACGGCTGCGATGACGACGGAGATCGAGATAATTGTTACTGTCGATGGCATGATCACTTTTGCCAATGTGCTGCCTTTTGGCCTTTGGGTGTATCACACAACATATGAGTATGCATGAGAAATGGGCAGGCACTCTTTATTCTCAGTGCGTTAATACATAAATCTTTATAAAGCATTTGCATATATTATATTATATTATTTAGTGTATATAATATATATTACATAAATTTAAATGTAGTTTTAGATATAATATTATTAGATCTCATCAAAAATATATTAAATGTTAAGAAAATATAACAATTCCATTACGAATAGAAAACAAACAATATAATTATAGATTCTCACTTATATAAGATATGTATACATATAAATATATATATATATATATATTAACATAATCAAATTTATTAATTATGTTTTATTTTAATAATATGCTCTATTTTATTATATAAGATTTGCATATACGTTATTAGGTTAATAAAATATATGCAACCATGATAAATTAGCCGGAATCTCTCTATGCTCGGTGCGTTAATATATGCATATACATATATCATTATTTGCAATACATTTTTTTTAATACAAACTATATTTTTACATTTGTACCTAAAAAGTTATAAAATAAATGAAAACCTGATAAAGTGGCAGGCATCTCTTTATGCTCGGTGCGTTAATATATGCATTCTAATTTATACATATATCATTATGAAGCATTTGCATAACGTTATAAGGTTATACAAAATATTCTTAACATTCGTACTAAAAAGGTTATAAAAATATATGAAAGCTTGATAAAGTGGCAGGCATCTCTTTATGCTCATGAGTGCGTTAGTATATGTCAATTATAAAAACATTTTCAATAGATTATTAACTTTATAATTTTGCTAAAAAAACATTAATGATACTACGTGACATCTTTCGAAAATGAGTTTTTTACGCTGATATAGACAATTTCTAGAACTTCAAGAAGATTTTTTTTTAATAGTATAAACTAAGGAGTTTTTCGGGCTACGCCCAACATATTTCTATAATTTAATTAAATTTTTGTATTTTATTTGAAAAAACTAAAAAAATATGATATATATATATATATATATATACTGGAACTGGTTTCAGAATTATAAAAGTGAAAGCAAATTAAAACTATTTGAAATAATTTTGTTGTATTGTATTGAAATTTATATATAATATTAGTAAGAAAAGTTAACTATAATATTGTTTTAGGAAAATTCCATATAAATACCCAAACTAAATTTTATTAAATTTTAATACCCAAACTTTTTCACTACCCAGTTTAATACCTCAACAAATAATTTTGCCCACTTTAATATGCAAACTTTTATAACTGTGCCCATTTTAATACCCAAACTTTATTTATTTTAATTAACACTACTAATAAGTTTCAAACAAAATTTTAAAATCTAAGAAAAAATATTTAAAATTTCTAAATTTGCTCTAAGATTTAAGAAAGAAGGTAAATAAACTCTGGAGAAAATTTAAATGTTTTTAAAAAAAAAAAATTGAAGGAAACAAAAATAATTTACTTTTTGTTTCAGAAAATAAACTAAATTCTATATAAAAAACTTAAAAAACTTATTCCAAAACTTAAGATTATACAAAATTTATTTAATTTCATTTCTCTAACATATAATAAAATCAATTTTTTTGTAAAGTTTAGAAATTATACAAAAATTATTGAAAACTTATTTGTATTGTTAATTAAAATAAACAAAGCTTGGATATTAAAATAGACACATTTATAAAATTTTGTGCGTTAAAATAGGTAAAATAATTAGTTGGGTATTAAACTGTGTAGCGAAAAAGTTTGGGTATTAAAAAGCTTAATAAAATTTAGTTGGGGTATTTATATGAAATTTTTCCTATTGTTTTATCTCGGTTATTGACTTTTACATAAACAAAAATTGTTAAACGTATAACTATAATACTGTGTAATTTGTTTGGTTCTACAATTATAAAGTTTCCAGCCAATTTGTAAACCAATTCTTTATTTTGTTTATTCAATTTATTTTTTAACTAAATTTAAAAAATTTCATTTATTTTTTGATATTTGTTGATTACTTGTTGTGCAATTTGAAATGGAGCTCACATATTTGTTTTGGGTGTCGAAGTGGACTACTTTTTCAAAATAAAAAATATTATTTTGGTCATTTTAATTTTTAAGGTATCTTTTTGTGATAAAAATTTAAAAATTCTATTTAAGAAAATTTCCCTACTAATTATTATTTTTGAAATTTGACATATATTCTAATTTATTTAATTATATTATTTATTGTATATAATATATATTGTATAAAATTTAAATGTGGGTTTAGATATAATATTACTAAATTTATCAAAAATATATTAAGTGTTAAAAATAATAATAATAATTCTATCGTGAATAGAAAACAAACAATATAATTATAGATTCTTATTTATATAAGATATATATATATATATATATATATATATATATATATTAACATAATCATAGTTATGTTTTATTTTTAAAAATATACTGTATTTTCTAATTTGTGATGTAATTTTATATATTTTTTTATTTATTCACACATGTAAATCTTAAAAAGTTATTAATAACATTTTATAATTCTTCAAAATATACATATTTGAATATCAAAATTATTAAAACTAAATGAGGTGATATATATGAAGATGATATGATATTTATTATTTGTAAAAACCAACAAAAATTTATAAAAAAATAAAAAAGAATTATAAGACCTCAAAAATATTCAACAAATGATGGTATGACAAGTTTTATTTTTTGCTTTTACCAAAAAAAAATCTATTTTATTATATAAGATTTGCATTTACGTTATTAGGTTAATAAAAATATATGCAAGCATGATAAAGTAGCAGGAATCTCTCTATATGCTCGGTGCGTTAATATATGCATAAACATATATCATTATTTGCAATACATTTGTTTAATAGTACGGATTCCAAATGCTTTTTAAATCCAAAGACTATATTTTTTTAAATTTGTACCTAAAAGGTAGGACTGGACAAAAAAACCCGAATCCGAAGAACCAAACTGAATCCGATCCGAAAAAGTAATACCGAACCCAAACCAAAATTGATTAAATATTTGAATGAGTTCAAAATATTTAAAAATAATTACGAATAGTCAAAATTAAATGTTTAAAATAGCTAAAGTATGTTCCAAACACCACAAAAAAATTTAAAATATATATTACTTAATTTAGAATATATATTACTTTTCTATCCAAATATTCAAACTAATCAAATTTATATGTTAGGTTTAGGTATTTTGACATATATTATTCAAACTTATATATAATATAGATTTTTTTATAGATTTTGAAAAATTGAAAGTATTATAATAAATTTATAATTTAAAAATAATTTAAATGGATTATCTAAATCTGAACCGAATCCGTAAAGATCCGAACCCGAACTAAAATTTAGAGATACCTGAATAGGGTTGAAATATTTGACCCTGATAACCCGAAACTCGAATAGATCCAAACCGAACTCGAATGGATACTCAAATGTTCATCCCTACTAAAAAGTAATATAAATAAATGAAAACCTGATAAAGTGGCAGGCATCTCTTTATGCTCGGTGCGTTAATATATGCATTATATTTTATACATATATCATTATGAAGCATTTGCATAACGTTATAAGGCTATACAAAATATTCTTAACATTCGTACCAAAACAGGTTACAAGAATATATGAAAGCTTGATAAAGTGGCAGGCATCTCTTTATGCTCATGAGTGCGTTAGTATATGTCAATTATAAAAACATTTTCAATAGATTATTAACTTTATAAAATATGTTGGTAAAAAACTTTATAAATTACATGAAACATGAATTTATATATATATATCATTATATAAGTGGTAGGCAGCTCTTCTTGTGGCCTATATATATTGGTATAATAAATGGAGCATGCTTATTTATATAAGTTTATTACTGAAAGTATCTACATATTATACTATAAGCGCGTTATTCAATTTAGTTTAAACAGTATTATAACTTGAGAAAATCTAACACTACTAAAAGGTGGATATACTCAACATATAGCATGTCCACGTCTGCAAAAATAATTAGCCAATAGAAACATGACATGTCAATAAAATAATCCACATCAGCAGCTTTAGCTTCGACGTTTCTTCACGCGATTCGCCTTCTTCACCGTTTGTAATATGACTTCCCCTCTCTGAGCTCTCTCATTCTCTCTTCTCCTTCCTCTCTCACTCTCACAAACAACAAAAAAGCACAACATCAACAATCCATCTCCAATCTCCCTTCTCTCTCACTACGAGATAATTTTTTATTTTGCTTTCTCACGCGACATCAAAATCAGCAAGAGGTAACGATCCTTGCGTTCGGCGTTCGTATATGCTTCTTCTCTGATTCATGGGTTTCGAGATCATTTGATTGCCTTTTCTGCAGATTCCTTTCCTCAGTCACTGTTATTCGTTGCTTTCTCGGAATCGCATGTAATTAGTGAGCCTCTTTGTCTCCGTTAGGAATCTAATTGTCTATTCGAGCTTTATGATGTACAAACCCTAATTTCGGAACCTCTGTGCACATCATATTAATTTCCCCAATAATTTCTAATTTTGCAGATCTTTGGAGTCTATTAAGAATTTTCTAGGGTTTCCGTCCCGAAAAATAGATTCGTGATCAGTAACGATTATGAAAGTAAGTGTTGTACTGTACTGATTACTATAAACCTCCTGAATTTCCATGATGCATTCGTTGGAGCTTTTTAGTAGGGTCGGAGTTGCAGAAACATGGTAAGATTATTCTGACTCTCTCGAAGCTGCTTAGTATAGACAAAGATCAAAACCAAAAATTTTTATGTTCTGTTTTTTTTAATATATATGTTATATGTTCATCTTCGTGTTGTCGTCAGTTGTAATGAAATCCATTTTTTTTT